GAAGCCCAATGGTTTTTGGAGATTTCGGCGTGCGCGCGCGAAGAAAAAACGAATGTGTCCCGCATGGTATTATTTGACAGGGATGATGGCCCTGGCAGGTGCGCAACCGTTGTCGCAGAAGTTCGAAAAAGTTGCTCGCAAAAGCCCGTTTGACAGAAATGTTTAAAAAGTGTTGGGTTTCCTACGAATCCGCAAGAGCGCGCGGGATGAGATTTTGACATTTTTTGTTGAAAAACCATTGGTTTTTTGATGTTTTTATGTTAAAATCGCTGCGAACACTAAGGTTTTGGAAGGATTTCGTCTTGCGCGCGCGAATGTCCACTTTACCTTATTTTTTGCAAGGGATTCTTGAAATTTGATTATATTAGAACAAGAAATGTAATTTTCTATTGTTTTTTGCAAGGGAAAGCGGATTACAACAAAACAACCGGATCCTGTACACACCCTCTTTTCTGAGGCTTCCTCACGAAAATGATGAAAATGTAGCTGCGGCCTAGGCGGCGCAGGGGGGGCGCGCACCAGGGGGCCCAACAATAATTATTCTTTAGAATAGATAATGTTCAACAACAACACCAACAACAACAACAACAACCACAACCACAACAACAACAACAACCACAACCACAACCACAACCACAACAACCACAACACCAACAACAACAATAGCAGCAGCAACAACAACAATAGCAACAACAACAACAACACATACAGCAACAGTAAACAAACAACAAACAACAAACAACAACCAACAAACAACAAACAACAAACAACAAACAACAAACAACAAACAACAAACAACAAACAACAACAACAACAACAACAACAACAACAACAACAACAACAACAACAACAACAACACCACCACCAACAACAACAACAACAACACCAACACCAACAACAACAACACCAACAACACCAACAACAACAACAGCAACATCAGCAACAACAATAATCCGCATCGCGGAAGTCCACTTCAGCCACGCACCCAGGGACAGTGAATGACCAGTTCAACCCCCTCACTCTGACCTCTGCAGGCGGGGAGGTCGTTTTACGTGCGAGGGGCTGGGGTCGTTATTTTTCACGCGTCCGTTTTTTTTGTTTCTCTCTCTCTCTCTCTCTCTCAGGCCACGGTTCACCTGATGAGTTTGCCAATCGCAGGTCGGTTTTTTGGCTGCATCCGGTCTGCCTGGCGACTCCTTGAATCGCATGGCAGTCGAGGAGGTGCAATGTGGAGTTTAGTATCTTGCATGTGAGTATATGTGTATATATAATATATACATATATATATCAACGGCGTTCACGGTTCGGGCGGTTCGGCTCCGTCGCAGTCGGTTGCGTTCGGTCGGTGCGTTTCGGCCGGTTGTTGCGTCGTTGCCGCGTCGTTGCGCCCTTCTCGGCTGCCTGCGGCCTGTCGGTTTTGGTCGGCTTCGACCTCGCTGGTGGTCTGGCCAGTGTTCGGGCTGGCTGTCGCCGTGGACGGCCGTGGATGTCATGGTCAGGACCATGAACTCTCCCCAGACCTCATGGCCCCTTCTTTTTACTTCGTCGAAGGAGGAAAAACGCCATAAAGATCAACTTTTGGCGCTCCGCGCGGATTTCTTTGATCAGCCCTGGTCCCCCCGGCGGCGCCTCTGGCGCCGCCCCCGGCGCGCTCCGCGCGCCAGGGAGGGGGGTCCAGCGCAGATCTAAGAAATCCGCGCGGAGCGCCAAATGTTTATGCTTATGCAGTTTTGTTGCTACTTCGGCACGTCCACTGGCCCCCCCTCGTCCACGCACGTGCCTCGAGCCATGACTTGCGAGTCCCCCTTCTTGGACGGACGCCCCCGAGGAAGAACAACAACAAAAAGATCGACGGCGGAGAGAGCGAACGGCGGGGCTTGTTGGAGGTATCCAAGAAGCTATTGACGCCGGGCTGTGTGTTCTCCTCCGCCGGTTGGCGTCTCGCAGGTCGCCCGAGGACATGGAAGTTTTGCATATTGGTTCGGCGTTCGCCACATACTTTGCATGGACGTTTGCAAGCATGATTCCCCGATTCATTGACGACCCGACGGAAGGGCCCACGACGTCGGCGCCCCCCATCTGCGTGAATCGCTGCAGGTTGGGAACTTCGAGGGGCAAGAATGTATCAAGCTGCCTGCGGCAAACCCCGCCGCCATGCAGTGGGGGCGTTCGTTCAGGAACGTGCCCAGGAGGCTTCCAGACCCTGGAGGATTCCTTATCTGATGAGGGCGGTGGTGATATCCACGGCCAATGCACGATTGGAGTTCCACGGGCTTCCAGACCCTGGATTCCTCATCGAAGGTTTCCTGACCCCATGCCCCCACCATACCAGCGCAGAAGGAACGACGGCGAGTCCCAGGCCCGTTCCAGTGCAGCGCCCCGTCTGCAATCGTGCGGGTCTTCAGCGCTCCCTCCGTTTCCACTCAGGAGGGGACAACACATACACAGACACAATTAATCGTCGATCCCCCAGAAAATTTCAGAAAATACGGGAAGTGGGGGGGAAGACACAAGCCCAGGAAATATGGGAAAATATGGGGAAGCCTGTTATTTGTGTCTGTTTATTTGCGTGTCCCAGGGCCCCTTCATCCACAGCCTCGCGCCCCCCCTTGTTCCTTGACATTGGAGGTTTATTCGGGGGCCTCCAGGGAGCTTGTTCGAGTGGGGCCTGTCGGGGGTTCTCCTTTGGGCATCTGGGATAGTCCTGCCTGCGATGGTTCTACCAAGCTCTCCTCACGAGGCGCGGTTGGAAGGCCTTGGAAACGTCTCGGCACGTCTTGCGGCCGTCTCCAGGCCGTCTTGGGGTGAGTTTGGGCCGTCTTGGAAGGTCATCGTGTCGCCCTGGCCCGTCTTGGTGCTAGCGTGGGATGCCCGTCAGCTTTTCAGGGGTCGTGGGGCTCTCTGAAAGCGGCCCGAGACGACCTGGAACCAAACATCCTCGGGTACCAGAAAACCAATTTCGCGTGGCGTTTCATTTTCACTCGCTTATTGCAGCATCACTGGAAGCCGATTTGGACACACCTCGACGGATTATTGAAGCCTCGTGTAGCATAGTGGGGGGAAGTTGGAGCTTTGGGGGATTCGTTGGTCCTTTCTTGGGCAGTCTCGGGGCGTCCTGCAATCGTTTCGGGACGGTTTGGCGTTGCTTTGGAGCCGTCTGGAGGCCAGACAGGGCACCAATGAGCAAAACAAAGGGAACGAGGTTTGACACACACACACACACACACACACGCGAAGCGATGTTGGAAAGCCACAACAAAACTTCCACCGTTGCACCAGAGAGCCGACAAGCTTTCTAACACGCTCCAGCATGCCGTGGGTACGGCGGTGGGCGTATTACTATGTGTTGTTCGCTTCGCCAAGTCCCCGAGCCTTACGTGTTGCTTATGTGTGTGTGTGTGCGTTTGTGTGTACGTGTGTGTTTGTGTGTATGTATTTGTATGTGTATGTATGTTGCGCCTACTGGGTGCCCTGTATCCTCGAGAACCTCTCGGATCCCAACCCCTGCATCTTGGCAGCTACGTGCTGCACAGTTCTTGGGCCGCCCCTTCGTACCGCTCCCACCCGCCTGGAGCCTGGGCCGCAGCTTTGGCGTAAAACTCTCCGCGATCTAAGCGTCTGGCCCTGTTTTAATCTTCCCTCTGCGACCGCCTTCCTCTCTCCCCTCCTCCTTGGTGCGAATTTCCCCATGCGCAGCCCGTTTGGACGATCCTGCGCGGAGCGAGCGCCCGTATTGCTACAAACAAATGTCAGTGCGTGTGCGTGTGTGTGTGTGTGTGTGTGTGTCTGTGTGTGTGTCTGTCTGTCTGTCTGTCTGTCTGTCTGTCGGTCTGTCTGTCTGTCTGCCTGTCTGTCTGTGTCTGTCTGTGTGTCTGTGTGTCAGTGTGTGTGCGTGCGTGCATGCGTGCGTTTGTGTGTTTATGTGTGTTGCCTGTGTGTATATGTGTGTCTGTGTTTGTTTCTCTGTGTCCGTGTGTCGGTGTGTCTGTTTGTCTGCGTAGGGGTGTGTCCGTATGTCTGCGTGTCCGTGTGTCCGTGCGTCCGTGTGTCTGTGTGTCCGTGTGTCCGCATATCTGCGTGTCTGTGCGCTTGCCCGGGCGCCGTTTCCCCCTCGGCTTGTTTGTTGACGCAGGTTCTTGCGTTGTCTTTGTCCTGCGTCAGGTGGCTCCTCGACTCCACCATGTCCCATGCGCCGCGCTCGCTGGTCGCATGGATCCTGCGCTGAGATGTTGGGGGTGGTCGGTTTCGTCCTCTCCTGGGTGGTTCTCCGCAGGGCGGGCGTGCAGGCCGTCTCCAGGGCATGCCCTGTCAAGGCTGTTCCCGTCCTACCACTAAGACTCTTTGGGCCCGTGCGGGCCTTCTGCTTATTCTATTGTTCTCCGTTCCCTTGCGATTAGCAGCGTCAGGTGGAGGCCGCGAGGATGACGCTTAACCCGCTGCCGAGCAAGAAGGGTGCGTGCGCGTGCGTGTAGGAGTGCGTGTGTGTGTGCGAGTGAGTGAGTGAGTGAGTGAGTGAGTGAGTGAGTGAGTGAATAAGTGAGTGTTCATGCCTCGCATTACCTGATGCTTGCCTATGTGCAACATCTTCTGGGCGCGGCTTATAGTATTACCATGCGGCTTCCGAATGATAAGTGTTTTGAGCGTAGCCCGTTATTGTCGTTGACAGTTGATTGGATTCGTCAGCGCGTCGGAGGACAACGGTCATGTGTGTATGTGTGATAGGGTGCGTGCGCGCGTGCGTGCGAGCATGTGTGTGTGGTTGTATGTGCGTGTGTGTGTGTGATTGTGTTTGTGGTAGTGTTTGTGTTTGCGTTTGTGTCTGTGTGTTTTGTGTGTGTGTGTGTCTGTGTGTATGGTCGGAGCTGTGTTTGTGTTGTGCGTGTGCTTGTGTGTGTGGTTGTGTGTGTTTGTGCGTGTGCTTTTGCATGTTCTTGAGAGTGTTTGTGTGTGTGTGTGGTTGTGTGCTCTCTCTGCTGGAAGATGTATCCGCACGCCCCCAGATGAATACGGCGATTGGGACGCTGGCGAAGGGCCCTCCGCACGATTGTATGTTGCAGTGAGTCTGACGGCAGAGTACGACAGGGGCGATTGTAATTGCATGGGTTCGAAGCAGGTTTGAAGGACATGGTGTGTGCATGGAAGACCTTGAATGTAGCACCAGCGAGTCATGTCCATCGGTCCCTACACCTTTTTAGATATTGCGTTTGAGTGGCAATCGCATGCTTGAGTACCACTCGCATGCCAGACGGGGGACATATGATATTGCGAACACCAAAGACGGGATCACGTTGGCGATATTATTTGCTCTGGTTCCTGAGCGCTTACATTCCACAGGTAGCCCTCAACATTCAACTGAGGAAACAGCGAACACCACAAAGAAGGGAACACGTTGCCCATATTCGTTGCTTCGGGTCTTGAGTGCATGCAATTCTTGGGTGGCCCCGACCATTCACACAGATGTGCATCATAGGACACACTCGTGTTGTTGCCATCATCGCCAAATTGAGAGGCCGACCCGTCTGAAGTCTCTACGGGTGAGTGGTAGAACAGGTGGGAATGAGTTTGCGATTTTGAAATGCCATTATGATGATGAGTCCTTACTGGTCCCCCCCATGCTCGGAATCCATTGTTTTCCGATATCCTCCGCCTCCGCCTCTTCACTCACTCACTCATTCCCATCTCCTTCTCCCTCTCAGCACACTCGGATCACCCAGACTTAGACGCTCACACTCAGACTCACTCACACTCAGACTCACCCAAGCTCCGACTCATTCATACTCAGACTCACGCATAACTCAGACGCACTCACACGCAGACCTCATCCACACTCAGACTCACTCACACTGAGACCCACTCACACTCAGGCCCGCTCACACACAGACTCACTCACTCACTCACTCGCTCACTCACTCACTCACTCACTCACTCACACACTCACCCTTTCATTCACTCACCCTTTCATTCACTCACGCACACGCGCACACACACACACACACTTCTCGGTCGTCGCGGGCGGGAGCTCCTCCTCGCCGTCCAGCCCGCGCGCGGAGACCCGCACGACGAGAGCCCAGCAGCCGGACAGAAAGCAGGGAAGGCAAGAGGCTGCCAGCCCCTCACGGGGCAGCGGCCGGGAGCGGCGCAGGGGCGCCAGAGCAGCGGGCAGCGGGCAGGCGCCCAGGGCGGTGGCAGGGGGGGGGGGGGGGGGCGGCGACCGCGGCGCGGGCGCCAGCCAGCAGGGCAGGGGCAGCGGCGGGCCGCCGGTCAACGGCAGCGGGGAGGCGGATGCCCGCCTAGGCTGGCGGCCGAGAAGAGGCCAAGCCGCACCAAGGTTGGGCGGGCGAGGTGGCGGCAGGAGGCCAGGCAGCGGCGTTCACGCCAGAGTTGGGCGGGCAGGCGGACCCCGCAGGCAGCGGGGCAGAGGGGAGCGGCCGGCCGCGAATCACCGAAAACGGCAGGCCAGACCAAGCAGGGCGGAGCAGGGCGGGGCGAGGGCGGCGGCGAGGCGATGACCGCTGAGGGTCATCCCAGGGGATCGAGCCACGCCATGGGGGGCGGAGCAGCCGAAGCAGCTGAGTGAGCGCTGCGGCGGTATCAAGCGACGGCGGAGCAGCAGGCGGGCAGGTCCGCGCCCGCAAGGCCGCGGACGCTGGGGAGCGCGGCGAGGCGATCACCGCTGAGCGTCATCCCAGGAGATCGAGCCAACAGAGGGGGCCACTGCCCAGTGGCGGCGAGGCACTGCTGGAAGAGCGCACGGCCGCGCCATGCGCGGGAGGCGCGAGCCCAGGGCAGCAGGCGGAGCGCGGGCGAGCGGCAGCGCGGTGGAGCGAGACCGCGCCAAAAAAAGGCGCTGAAGCGTGCAGAGCAGGGCGGCAGCTGCGGGAGGCCGGACAGCTCCTCCTCCTCCTCCTCCTCCTCCTCTTCCTCCTCCTCCTCCTCCTCCTCCTCCTCCTCCTCATCCTCATCCTCATCCTCCTCATCATCATCATCATCATCATCATCATCATCATCATCATCATCATCATCATCATCATCATCATCATCATCATCATCATCATCATCATCATGCGTGCAGTGGCTAGGCGGTAGGGCCCTGCGCGAGAGGTGATGCCAAGCTTGCTAGCTGTGCAATTTGGGGGCGGCGCGGGCCAGCAATCGAAGAGCGCCCAAAATTCCGAGCAAGCAAGCATATGGCGCTGATCAGCGTCAGGGCGCCCACAGCAGAAACAGGGATGCCAGATAGCTTCATGCATGCGCTTTGTGCTGAACCATCCATGCATCCAAGTGCGGAGCACTAGAGTGCGTACAGGACGCGGCAAAGCACGGAGAGAAGCTAGAGCGGCCTCAGGGGCATCAGAAGACAACGATCGTGTGTCCACAAAAAGTGCTCCACCGAGTCAGCAGCAATGCGCGCCAGTCCACATCCCACCATTCCTGGAGCGTTGCGTCCTGGACGGCGCGCTGGATCCGGGAAGCCGGCAGCCAGCCGTGGGCCCAGGCAGCGTGCAGAGAAGCCAAGTGGCCAAGATCACGCCGGTGCCGGTCAGGATGAAAAGCCGCAGCGCGTTCAAGGTTCAGGGCAAGGAGCGGCGCGCGCCACCACGGCTGGGTGAGCGTGCCCTTTGCGATCATCAGTGGACCCAGTGGCAAGACCTCCTCGATTAGGGACCGGGTCTGCTGGAGCAGGGTGGCCCAAACCATGCACGTCGTCAACGCGAATCTGGTCATGATGGACATGGCGTAACCCGTGGGAAACCCAAGGCATCGATGTGAAAACCGGCCCACTGCGGGAGCGCCTCCCTGGGGAACCGGACCACTTTGGCTAGGGTAGCAGGCTGCCCAGTGATCAGCGTGGCAGGCGGCGCAACGAACTGGGACTTGTAGCTGAGGACTGGGATGACTCTGATGTCATATTCGATGATGTTCTGGGTCATGGATTCGTGGGAGAGTCCGAGACGAGATAGACGAAAGAGAAACTTGCTCGACGGCTCAACCCACTGCGTCGCCGTCGAGTTTTGGCCCAGCAGCATGCCGAGATATTCAAACGATGGCTCGATGCGGATGGTGTACCATGCCGGGACGTTCTTCTCAAGCCATTCGCGGAACACCTCCACGAGCGCAGGGGTGTATCTCGACCACGTGGGCGAGAGCACGCACTTCTTGAGCTTCTCTGCGAGGCCCGTCGCGCGACGAACCAGGTCATAGAGGTGCTGAATAGGGATGAGCGCCGTGAGATCCCAGAGGGAAATACCGACGTCGTCCGCACAAAGCCTGAAGATCCCCTTGCGCGCACAAGGTGTTCCACACAGCCAAAGAAGCTTTCTCACAGGGCCGTCCGAGGGCCACTATTGTGCACTACGCTCAAAATATTATCCGGCGCGAGCGCCTTTCGGTGCCGCTTTAAGTTGTCGAAGCTGGCTCCCGATGGATCCGTGATCATCATCATCATCATCATCATCATCATCATCATCATCATCATCATCATCATCATCATCACCACCATCATCATCATCATCATCATTATCATCATCATCAGCATCATCATCATCATCATCATCATCATCATCATCATTCTCCTCCTCCTCCTCCTCCTCCTCCTCCTCCTCCTCCTCCTCCCCCTCCTCCTCCTCCTCCCCCTCCTCCTCCTCCCCCTCCCCGTCCCCCTCCTCCTCCTCCTCCTCCTCCTCCTCCTCCTCCTCCTCCTCCTCCTCCTCCTCCTCCTCCTCCTCCTCCGCCTCCTCCCGCAGCTGCGTGCAGAGCTGATGCAACGGCCAGGCGGCCACCGCCGGGGTCACCCAAACGGGGTGGCTACCGCTGGGGTGAGACGGCGGCTCAGGCACCGAAAGAGCGGGCGCGGCGCGAGGGCTGGCGACACCCGATACCTCCGGGACGGGCAGAGACGAGGCTGTATAGGGAGCACAACGGCGGCGTGGCCACCCGGGCCGGAGCAGCGCCAGGGGCGGGCAGATCCGCGCCCGAGGCAGCCAGGGACCGGCAGGGGGGCCGGCGCGGGCGCCCAGCTCCGCGGGGCAGGTCAGCGAGCCACAAGTCAAGGAGTGGCGAAGCGTCCCGGCTCGCCTACAGGCCCACCAAAGAATGTTCGAAGAACTTCTTGTGGTCTGGACGAAAAGTTCTTAGGACAGTTCTGGCTGAGACTGTCCTGTTCTAGCACATCGGCTTTCTGTTCTCAGCTGGTTCTAAGAACATGTCGTGGTATAGGCCGCTGGGAATGCCGGGACGGTCGGTCCCTGCTCAAAAAAAGGCGGGGGCAGCGAGTGAGCCGCCGGCGGCGACCGCGGAGGGGCCAGCAGGAGCGCAGGGCACGGGATCGACGCGCAGGCGCTCGCCAGGCTGGGGGGCGGCGCCGGGGCTGGCACGAGCGGGCCCGAGGCAGGCGGCACGGGCCCGGCGCAAAAAGAGGCCAGCTGGCTGCGATCGTCGGGTCGGGCGAAAGGGGGGGATAGCAAAGGGGGGGTTTGAGAATCAGCTCACGTAGCTGATTTCCCCGGCGCCTCCTGGCGCCGGAGGCGCCCATGTATCGAGGAATGGGCCCCTCGGTGAGGCCGAAACCAGCTGCATGCAGCAAATTTCGTAACCCCCCCTTTCCCTATCCCCCCCTTTCGTCCGGCCCGAGATCGGCCGTAGAGGGACCTTTCGCCAGAGTGACCTCTGGTGCGGGCACAGATGGGTCCCTAGAGATCCAACGCACTGAAAAAATCAAGACGGAGGTTGAGGTTCTGCCCAGCTTCCGGCCTCTAGGGGCCCTCGCTGGTCTGCCTAGAAAGGTTCTTTCTCTCTTTGCTTAAAGGGGCCGGGCAGTGGAACGCGCCCCGGGCGGTTCCCCCAGGATCCGCCCCGCGGTTCCCCCAGTCCCCTGGGACCTTTAGCTTTAGCTTTAGCATTAGCTTTAGTTTTAGCTTAGCTTTAGCTTAGCTTTAGCTTAGCTTTAGCTTAGCGTTAGCTTAGCGTGAGCTTAGCTTGAGCTTAGCTTTAGCTTAGCTTTAGCTTAGATTTAGCTTAGACTTAGCTTAGCTGCAGCTTAGCTTTAGCTTGGCTTTAGCTTAGCGTTAGCCTAGCTTTAGCTTAGCTTAGCTGTAGTTTAGCTTTAGCTTAGCTTTAGCTTAGCTTCAGCTTAGCTGTAACTCAGCTTTAGCTTAGCTTAGCTTAGCTTCAGCTTAGATTTAGCTTAGTTTTAGCTTAGCTTTAGCTTAACTTTACTGTTACTACTAATGCTGCTTTCCTAGGGGCTCCAACTCCTAGGCAGGGTCGCACTGGGATAATTTTAGTATTGCGGATTTCTCTAACCCGGATCAGCCTGTAGGGGACAGACCCGATCTAATTCCAGGAGGGAGAGGATGGGCTCCACGGAAGTTTTCACGCGAACGTCCGGTTTGGGCCTCGATCTTCGCTTGGGCGGTACAAAACGCAGGGACTCGAGTCCAAATCATGAGCGTTTGTTGGGTTCGATGCGTCGGAGGCCCCAGCTGTTGCCGCGCAAGAAGCGTAAATAACGAACAAAGTAAGGAACCGACACACGCCAACCGCGGATTTCAAGAATTCGTGAGGTTACAAGGATCCTGCATCATCCCCCTCCTGCCCCCCCTCTCGAACCAGACTTGCGTCTGGGCTCAAATGATCCACGGAAGTTCGTGTGTTCGGAACCCGCGCCCCCCCAGAGGTCGCTTGGGGAGGGGCGACTCCGACTGCCAAAAACTGACCAAAATGCCATGGCGCCAACATCGCAGAGCGGATTTCGTTCGGAAAACGAGGGGATGGGCTTTGTCCTAGTAGTATCGTTCCGGAGTTCGACGTGAATTTCGTGCGGCTTTTTGGGGGGGGCCAGGAATGAAGACAACAAAAAAACACCCACGCAAAATTCACTTCGTGTTTCGCTCGCCGTCTCGGGGTTCTGCATTGGCAGACATCCACGCAACACAATCCGCTGCAGCACGTCTGCAAGGTCGGTGCAACGAAAAAGGGCACCACGAGCCCTCCCTCCCTGGTGCTGGGGCCCGCTCGGTACGCCGAAAGGGGCGCGGACAGAGCGCCGTGCTCGGCAGTTCTGGCCGTCTTCCCAGTGGGGCCCGACCCCACGAGGGCCCAGGGCGGCCCAGGAGGGTTCCACCACAGCCCGAAGACGGCCCCCCGAAAGCACGCAAGAAGGCTCCAAGAGAGGCCAAGAGGGAGAGCGCGAGCGGAACATCCGATCTCTCTGCCCCACGAGGCCCCCCAAAGGCCCCAAGAGACCCCCAAGCAAAAGAAGCTCAACGGTAAGCCCCGAGAGCGTGGGCCAGTCGCTGCCGACCTGCCCTTTTGCTTGAGAGCCCACAGTGGTCACAGATCCAAGAGCAGCCGATCTCGACAGTCCAGCAGCGAGCCTCCCCTCCACAGGCCCCTGGGGCGCCTTGACTCTTGCGCAGCTCGGACCCCCTGAGGTCGGGGCCTCTAGGCCTCCCAGATGGGGTCGGAGTAGATGGAGTCGGAGGATCGCGCCGTATCACCGATACATCGGCGATGCGGCTCGATGCGAAGCCAGATTTTCTCCACGCCGACGTCGCCGATGCATCGCCGACGTCCCCGATGCATCGCCGATGCATCGCCGATACATCGGCGATGCATTGGCGATGCAGCGCGATCCTTCGACACCATCTACTCGGACCCCATCTAGAAGGCCTCTAGAACCTCTTCCCCAAGACTGGCTTTGCATCCTGAGCCGTTCTTGGACTGTTTCAGGACCCGGCAGGGGCCCCGAGAACCCGAAGACGGGGACGAAAAAGGTTGCGTCGTGATGTTGTCGCGACGCCGGGGGATAATGGGTCCCTCCCCCTTCATCTCCTTCCTCTCACTCACGATTTGCTGTGTGGTGATTCGCTGGGTGTCTAGATATGCATCGCCAGAGGTCTCGTCGGCCAGACCCAGTTACGGCATGCATCTTCGCCTCATGGCCCTTCGGCCGCTAGCAGGCAAGAGTTCCTCAGCAGATTGAACCGAGGTTTTCGACCCAAAGATTTAGCCGTTGCGAATTTATCTCAGTCTGACATTGTTCAGGGATCTGATACAGCAGGCACGCCAAGAAACAGTGGAGACGCATGCCAAGAAATACCCTGCTTGCCTCCAGGGTGCCCTGGGCTTCTTGGGTTCCGATGGCTTTGCTATGGAAAGCGTGACGTTCCTACACCAAAAATCGATGGACGTCCTGGGGTCTCAGGGTTGGATTTCTTGTGGAAGGTCTCTTCTGGTCGGGCTTCCACTGTAAGACACCAGCCTGCAAGCAGGTGCCCCACGGACTTTCCTTGTCCCCCCGATGGCCCTGGGGACCTACAGACGCTCTGGGGCGCCTGAGGACCCTCAAAGATCGACGAAGAAGGTGCCCAAATATTTCCTACGACGATATATCTCATCGTGCGTACATACTGTCAGGCAGCATAATACAACCCTTAAGCCCAATAGCACAACGAACTCGTGGCCTCACTTAGGTAGTCGGCTGTTTTGGGTTATCCCTAATCGTGTGGGTGGGTTCGTCTGAGACATCTGCAACACAGCCCACGAGCGACGATCAAAAACGGGCCGTACGCACGATGGCGCAGCGACCTTACGCGGTGACTTACGCGGGCCCCCAGAGCGGCACGCCACATTGGAGACGAGGGCGCTCACGCGCGACCTTACGCGGACAATTTACGCGCCAATGTCGGCGCAACCGAACCCGTCTTTGTTGCGTCGCCCATTCTCCCTAGTGTTTTTGGCCCTCCTGACTTAGGTCCCTTCCCAGAGGATCAGGGGTAGTTGTGTTGCTCCTCATGTCATGGCGCCAACATCGCAGAGCGGATTTCGTTAGGAAGCCAATGGCATGGGCCCGGATTGTCCTGGAGAGTTTCGATCCGGATCTCGAAGCGAATTTTTCGCTCGCCGTTCCGGGATCTTGCGTTGACAGGAACCCGCGCAAACATCCGCTGCAGCACGTCTGCAAGGTCGATGCACCGGCTCATGCTGTGCGCCCACCCGCCGCCGCGCCCCCAGCTACGACCACGGGCACCGGGGAGACCGCCGCCGCGACCGGGACCGCGGCGAGCGGGACCGCGACCGGGACCGCGGGCCGCTCCGTCGCTCCGTCGCGGCTGCCCGTCGTGCGCCCCCGGGGGGGGCGAAAGGGAAGGCTCGAGGGAAGCGGGTCGGACGCAAGGGGGCCCGAGGTTTTCGAGGCTCCTCCCCCTCCTCCTCCTCCTCCTCCTCCTCCTCCCCCTCCTCGTCCTCCTCCTCCTCCTCCTCCTCCTCCTCCTCCTCCTCCTCCTCCCCCTCCTCCTCCTCCTCCTCCTCCTCCTCCTCCTCCGCCTCCTCCTCCTCCTCCTCCTCCTCGGACGAAGCGGGTCGGAGGACAGGGGGCCCGAGGTTGTCGAGGTGCTCGGACGTGTCCTGCAGCTCCCGGCGGGGTTGCTCCCAGCTTCGGGAACTGTGCCCCGGGGCAGCGGCGCCTCGCCGAGGGCGTGCCATGGGGGTGCCCAGGGCGTCCCCATCGGCCGCCGGAGGCCCGAGTTGTGACCCAAAATTCAAAGAGTGGCGGAGCAGTGTTCTAAGATTAAGTCGGGCACGCCCCTCTACAGGAGGAATATTCAAACATAGTCAAAAACATTGAAAGGGGACTATTTTTAAGTAGTTTTGAATATTGCTTGGGTATTTGTTGGGTACTTGTAATTTTTCGTCAAAAATCGGCCTGTAGGGGGACACGCCCGACCTAATTCTAATAACCTTGTGTGTTCTGCACGCAATGTCTTTGGAACAGTTCTGGCCGGGACTGTCTTGTTTGGACACATCGGGTCTATGTCTTGCGAGTATTGTTTTTCTTGTTGGAACCTGTTGGGGTCCTAAGAACAAGCCGTGTTAGGCCCAGAGGAATGCCGGGGCGGTCGGTCTCTGCTCAACAGAAGCCAGACGACGAGGATTACTCCGGGGAGGCGTGGCGGGGGGGTGCGGAGTCTGCTGCATGCAGCTGGTTTCGGCCCCGCCGCTGGGCGCTTGCCTCGAGGAGTCGGCGCCTCCTGCGCCAGGGGCGCCAGAGAAGTCAGCAGCGCGAGCCGCCGATTGGCCAGCCTGTGGGCCCCATGTCTCGGGGCCCCATCCTTGCAGTGCCGAGCTCAGGCATCGAGCTTCGTTCGCCACCCTCGCCGTCTGGAGGCCGTTTCGGGGCTTGGGGTTACTGTAGGTCGGGCATGCCCCCCTGCAGGAGGAATCTGAAAACGTAGCACCCCGCGATTGCGGATAAGAGTGAGGGGACGGGCGCGGGCGAAGCGGGCGTCGAGCCGTTCAGTGAACGCTGTTTGGCTCGTTCAGTGAACTTTCAGTGAACGTAGTTTGGGTCGCGGGTGGGTCGCGGGCTCTCCACCTCCACCTGGAAGGACTTCAACAACAGCCCGCCGCAGGCGCCGAAAATTTTGATGTGTACACTGAACGCGGTTTGGGTCGCAGGTTCTCCACCTGGAACGAATGCAAAAGAAACCCGCCGCAGGCGCCGAAGTTTTGGCTTGTTCTGTGAACTTAGTTTGGGTCTCGGGTGGGTCGCGGGCTCTCCACCTCCACCTGGAAGGACTTCAAACACAGCCCGCCGCAGGCGCCGAAAATTTTGATGTGTACACTGAACGCGGTTTGGGACGCGGGGTGGGTCGCAGGTTCTCCACCTGGAACGAATGCAAAAGAAGCCCGCCGCAGGCGCCGAAAATTTCGAGTGGGTCGCGGGGTGGGTCACGGGTGGTTCGCGGGTGGGTCGCGGTGGGTCGCTGGTGGGTCGCGGGCGCAGTTTGGGTCGCGGGTGGGTCGCAGGTTCTCCATTTGGAACGAATGCAAAAAAAACCCGCCGCAGGCGCCGAAAATTTTGGGTGAGTCGCGGGGTGGGTCGCGAGTGGGTCCCGGGTGGGTCGTGGTGGGTCGCGGGTGGGTCGCGGGTGGGTCGCGGAGTGGGTTGCGGGTGGGTCACGGGTGGGTCGCTGGTGGGTCGCGGGTGGGTCGCCAGGGAGGTCTCGGGGTGGGTCGCGGGCGGGTAGCGGGTGGGTCGCAGGGTGTGTCGCGGGTGGGTCGCGGGTGGGTCGCGGGGTGGGTCGCGGGTGGGTTGCGGGTGGGTCGCGGGTGGGTCGCGGGTGGGTCGCCAGGGAGGTCTCGGGGTGGGTCGCGGGCGGGTAGCGGGATGGGTCGCAGGTGGGTCGCGGGTGGGTCGCGGGTGGGTCGCGGGGTGGGGCGCGGGTGGGGCGCGGGGTGGGTCGCGGGTGGGTCGCGGGTGGGTCGCGGGGTGGGTCGCGGGTGGGTCGCGGGGCGGGGCGCGGGTGGGACGACGACAACAACATACAACAACAAACAAGAACAAAAAAAACAACAACAACAACAACAACAACAACACCAACAATCACTTTACCCGAACGCTCAGTGTTCTCACCAGTGCCAGGGTTTTCATGCGACGCCAGCCAATACCCCCACTTTGTGGGGGGGCAGTGCAAGCTCTACCAAATATCCACACGACTCTTCGCCACCACCCACACCCAGCTTCCCGCCCTATGACGTTCGGACACTTCACTTCGTGGCATGCGGACGACCGTGGCTACTATTCATGGCCCCGCGGCCGACGACGACGGCGTGCGCGCGCGAAGAAAAAACGAATGTGTCCCGCATGGTATTATTTGACAGGGATGATGGCCCTGGCAGGTGCGCAACCGTTGTCGCAGAAGTTCGAAAAAGTTGCTCGCAAAAGCCCGTTTGACAGAAATGTTTAAAAAGTGTTGGGTTTCCTACGAATCCGCAAGAGCGCGCGGGATGAGATTTTGACATTTTTTTGTTGAAAAACCATTGGTTTTTTGATGTTTTTATGTTAAAATCGCTCCGAACACTAAGGTTTTGGAAGGATTTCGTCTTGCGCGCGCGAATGTCCACTTTACCTTATTTTTTGCAAGGGATTCTTGAAATTTGATTATATTAGAACAAGAAATGTCATTTTATAGTGTTTTTTGCAAGGGAAAGCGGATTACAACAAAACAACCGGATCTTGATCACATCGAATTACCTGAGGCTTCCTCACGAAAATGATGAAAATGTAGCTGCGGCCTAGGCGGCGCAGGGGGGCCGTGCACCAGGGGCCCCAACAATAATTATTCTTTAGAATTAATAATGTTCAACAACAACAACAACAACAATCATTTTAAGACTGTTCGCTCTTACTTGCCCGCGTGCCATGCAACGTGTATACCCACGCCCTCGATACCCGCCCCCTTCGTCTTCGAGCGTACCCCCTTCTGGGGGGATTCTTTCTTTTTGCGGGGGCGGGCGGGCTTAGACAAGCGGGCGTGAACGGGCGGGGAATTATTCGGAGGATGGGGCACGCATCTCTTTGCCCACCATTGGAATTAGCGCGGGCCCTGCAAGAAGAGGAAGGGGGAGAACGAGGGAGAGTGGGAGGAAGGGAGGGGGAGGGCCGAGACTAAAGGGGAACACGCCAGGAGAGAGGGGGCGAGGAGGGGGGGGGCGATTGGAGATAGAGAGACAGAGGAGGGAGGAAGGAGGAGGCTGGAGAGGGGAGGGCGAAGAGAGGAGGGAGGAGGGTTATGGGAGGAGGGTGAGGGGAGAGAGGAAGAGGGAGGAGGAGGGTGGATCTGAGGGAGAGGGGAGGGAGGAGGGAGGTTGGATGGGGAGGAAGGGGCAGGAGGGTAAGAGTGTCAACGTTCGCGGAAGTCCTAGGCGAGGGCGTATTCCTCAAGGAAGAGTTGGGCGGGAGCGGGGGTCCCGAGTACATTGTCGGACGTCTCAGGCGGGAGCGCCGGTCGGGCGGGCGGACCCTGACGGGCGGGTCGGGCGGGTGGGACATTCAAACGGGATTTTTGCGTAAATTGCGAGGAAGTATTAAGCGAGAGCGCGATTCCTAAGTAAATTGCGAGGGCGTCCTTGGCGCGAGCGTGGTTCCTGAGCGTCGACAACGCGATGCTGCAATAAATTGCGAGGAAGTCCTAAGCGAGAGCGCCATTCCTGAGTAAATTATAAGGAAGTCTCAAGCGGGAGCGCCGTCTCTGAGTAAAATGTGAGAAAGTCTGAAGCGGGATCGCCCTTCCGTAGTAAATTTTGAGGAAGTCTCAGGCGGGAGCAGGGGTCCTGAGTAAATTGTGAGGAAGTCTCAGGCGGGAGCCGTTGTTGTTGTAGTCCGGGGCCCAACAACGCAATCTGATCCGCAAGGCTTTCCCTGTCAAAAAACAGGGTGCGAGCCCCAGAGGAAGCACTTCAAATGAAAAAAAACAGTGGGCACCGGACAGGGGGGATCAACAATAATTATTCTTCAGAAGTGAGAGTTCAACAAGAAAAATCCGCATCGCGGAATTCCATTTCAGCCACGCACCCAGGGACACTGAATGACCGTTCGGTTCAGCCCCCATCACTCTGATTAATATTGTTTCAGAAAAAAGTCAGGGGACTATGTTTCATTGTTAGATATGTTTTGAATTTGGTTTTACAATGTTATTTTTCGCCCAAAATCCGCGTGTAGGGGGACGTGCCCGACCTAAGGCTTGGGGCCACCAGCAAGAAGCGACTCAGGATGAGGAAAGCCAGTCCCTCGGGAAGCGGTCGAGAAATCCACGGGCCGCACACCGGTCTGGGGAGGAGGGTGGAGGCCTCATGTGGAGGAGGAGGAGGAGGAGGAGGAGGAGGAGGAGGAGGAGGAGGAGAAGGCGGAGGAGGAGGACGACGAGGAGGACGAGGAGGACGAGGAGGACGAGGAGGACGAGGAGGACGAGGAGGAGGAGGAGGATGAGGAGGAGGACGAGGAGACGAGAGGAGGAGTGTGGAGGCCTTATATGGAGGAGAAGAGGAGGAGAGGAGGAGGAGGAGGAGGAGAAGGAGGAGGAGGAGGAGGCGGAGGAGTTTGAAGATCGAGGTCGTTGGTCAGCGGCTGTGGTGAAGCGGTCTGTGGCTCTGGCGAGCCCCATGGGGCTCCCGAGAGGCCCATGGAGGCGTCCGAGAAACTCTGGGTACTTTCAGGAACATAGGGGGGGGACCTCGGCAGCAGGCCTGCCATCGAGAGGAGGCACCAGGCCTCCGACGCGAAGAAATGGCGACGCCCGGCTTTCTCACCACTTCGGCTTCCAGGGGAGCCCAGGACCACCAAAGACTGGCCGTGACGAGAAAGCGGTCCCCGGGATGGGGTCGAGGGCTATCGGGAGGTGCGTTGTGATGAAACCACGATCCCGAAAGTCCAAGGAGAGGGAGGAGAAGGAGGAGGAGGAGGAGGAGGAGGATGAGGAGGAGGACGAGGAGGACGAGGAGGACGAGTGTGGAGGCCTTATATGGAGGAGGAAGAGGAGGAGGAGGAGGAGGAGGAGAAGGAGGAGGAGAAGGAGGAGGAGGAGGAGGCGGAGGAGTTTGAAGATCGAGGTCGTTGGTCAGCGGCTGTGGTGAAGCGGTCTGTGGCTCTGGCGAGCCCCATGGGGCTCCCGAGAGGCCCCTGGAGGCGTCCGAGAAACTCTGGGTACTTTCAGGAACATAGGGGGGGGACCTCGGCAGCAGGCCTGCCATCGAGAGGAGGCACCAGGCCTCCGACGCGAAGAAATGGCGACGCCCGGCTTTCTCACCACTTCGGCTTCCAGGGGAGCCCAGGACCACCAAAGACTGGCCGTGACGAGAAAGCGGTCCCCGGGATGGGGTCGAGGGCTATCGGGAGGTGCGTTGTGATGAAATCACGATCCCGAAAGTCCAAGGAGAGGGAGGAGAAGGAGGAGGAGGAGGAGGACGAGGAGGAGGAGGAGGAGGAGGAGGGAGGACAAGGACGAGGACGAGGACGAGGACGAGGAGGAAGAGGAGGACGAGGACGAGGACGAGGACAAGGAGGAGGAGGAGGAGGACGAGGACGAGGGCGAGGGTGAGCAGGATGATGATGATGATGATGATGATGAGGAGGAGGAGGAGGAGGAGAGACTCTCCTCTTCTGAGGGGTCGGGTCCCCTCGCTTCTCCCTGCGCCGTCGAGGACTGTCCTCCACTCCCGTCGCTCAATCGCTATTCCTTCCTCAGGGGAAGGGGGAGGGGAGGAAGGATGAGGAAGAGGAGGAGGCGAGGGGAGGAGTGTGGAGGAGGAGGAGGAGGAGGAGGAGGAAGAGGAGGAGGAGGAGGTGGAGAAGGATGGTGGGGGAGGCGGAGGAGGACGACGACGTCCACGACGACAAAGACGAAGACGAGGAGGAGGGTTGGGAAGAAGGAAGAAGAGGAGGAACGGGAGGGGGAGGGCGAAGGGGAGGAGGAGGAGACGGAGAAGGATGAAGTAAGACAATCGGGGGACAGTAAGGAGATAACGGGCGTTTCGCTTAATGTGTCTCTTTGCCGTGTACGCTCCTGAAACTTAGATCCAACAGTTAGACCCGTTGAAACGCGACACCTGTTCAGAATGTGGTTCTCGCATCCACAACTTGCACATTCATCTTTAAAGCAACCCAGCACTTAAATGGTTAGGTGCCAGTACGTTTTCGAATTGGGGCCCTCTGCAGGGACTTCAGCACTCATGTCAAGCGTGAAACTGTTCAAGAGTTACACGGATGGAGGGCGGCCCCTTTTCAACATAGGGGGTCGCGCTTGAGGTTTCGCCCGCTTGCTCGACCAGACGTCAAAACGGTCGGACAAATATACGATGGCGGGCGGTTCCTTTTCAAAGCGGGGGTATCGCTTGGCATTGCTTTGCATGTTTAACCCACCTTGCCGCAGTCTCTTAACCCGCAGGCCCTTGGCTCGTGTTTCAATGGGGGGGGCGGGGCGCCCCGCGCAGTGAGAAGGCATGTGGGGACTGATGGGCAGGGAACTTGAGACGGGAGGGTGTGTTGCGGTATCGTTGACACAGATTGGGCTTACCCGGGCCCTTCGTATCTTCCGAGAGGGGGAGAGAGACGAAGAGAGACAGAGAGAGAGACGGGCAGATAAACATGTTAGCCAGCGTGGACCCCAAACAGTGTGTCTAGCAGTATTTGTTGCGCAGTCTAGGTGAAGCAGTCTATCTGTTGCAATTCACGTACGCAAACAAGTTGACACACTCCATGCTCTTGCAACACCTCCTGCCCACCGAGCCGCAACTTGGTTTGCAAAACCCATGCGGCGGCGATTGCGATGAGTGGTTGGCGTTGGCTATTGCATCTCTGCGGCCGCGCATGCTCGCGCGCGCAGCGGCCAATTAGTTTGGCGCGACCTGCGCGGCCGCGGTGGCGCTGACCGCTGGGCACTTCGCAGCGGGCACTTCAGTACGGGGGGGTGACTTGGGCGGGCACGGTATCATGGCAACGTCGACAACGGTTAAAGAGATGATGGAACTAGCGATGCCGGTGACGATGGTGACAACGGCGACGGCAAGGCCAGTGACGGCGCCGATGCTAATCACGCCGACGATGATGACGGCGTCCTCGCGTCGGTGATGACGGTTTTGGAAGGAGTTCGACAAGCGCGCAAGGCCGACGCGCGAAAGTGGCCCGATCTGTATGATTTGTTACGGATCGGATCCCCCCTCCCCCAGCACGCGCGCAAGGGCGTTCGAATAATTTCGACATGCGGCGCGGGTGGCCTGTCTGGCAAAATTCAATAAACATGTAGAAGAAAGAACCTATGGTTTGTTCCCGAAGAATTCGCAAGAGCGCGAGCGGAGGTTTTTGGGAAAACTGACGCTGCAAAACCATGTTTTTTTTCCGGAACAGTCGGTTCTGAAATTTGTGCAAAGCGAATGGTTTTGGCGGGATTTCGGAACCCTAAATGCAAGCAGCGTTGGGGCAACGAACGCGAAAGGGGGGACAAGAGAAAACGAGAGAGGGACAGATTGACAGGACAAACAAACAAAACAACTGCCCCGCGAGGACCGCGAGCGGGACCGCCACGACAGAGACCGCCACGAGCGGGACCGCCACGAGCGGGACCGACTCGAGCGGGACCGCGTCGAGCGGGACCGCCACGAGCGGGACCGCGACCGGGGCGGCGCCGCTGCGGCCCCCCGCGCGGAGGGCAGCAGGAGAGACCGCGACCGAGATCGAGGCTCCCGCGGCCAGCCCGATCGGGGGGGACGGTGGCGCGCCTCGGCGGCGCCCTCCCTCCTCATCCCCCTCCTCCTCCTCCTCCTCCTCCTCCTCGATCCTCTAACGTTCTCTTCTTCTCCTCCTGTTCTTCCTCCTCTTCCTCCTCCTCCTCCGTTTCCTCCTCCTCCGTTTCCTCCTCCTCTTCCTCCTCCTCTTCCTCCTCCTCTTCCTCCTCCTACTCCTCCTCTCCTCCTCCTCCTCCTCCTCCTCCTCCTCCGCCTCCTCCTCCTCCTCCTCTTCCTCTCCTACTCCTGCCCATCCTCCTCTCTCCTCTTCCTCTTCCTCCTCCTCCTCCTCCTCCTCCTCCCCCTCCTCCTCCTCCTCCTCCTCCTCCTCCTCCTCCACCCCCTCCTCCATCCCTTTTTCGTGTCAGTAAGTGTTCCCTGCCGCACCCCGAAGCGTGTCGGTAGGGTGGGTCAGGCGTTTCGCCTGGTATTCCCTCACGAACTATGTTCCTGAAATTTCACTGTTGCAACAGCTTCACGGATGGAGGGCGGATGGTTTTCAAAATGTAGTTCTCGCTTTGGCATCGCACACATTCGTCTTACAAGTTTGCAGCCCTTTCACGGATGGAGGGCGGACCGTTTTCAACATGTGGTTTTCGCTTCCGCGCCGCGAGTGATCTCTTTAAGAATTCGCACCACCGTCAAACATTGAGGGCGGGCTTGTTTCCAACATGTGGTTTTCGCCCTAGCGCCGCGCACATTCGTCTCAAATGTTTGCGTCCGTTTCACGGTTGGAAGGCGGACCGTTTTCAAAATGTGATTCTCGCCTTCGCGCCGCGCACATTCATCTTAACAGTTTTCAGCAGTTTCAACGATGGAGGGCGGTTCCTTTCTAAAATGCGTCTCTCGCCTTCGCGCCGTGCACATCCGTCTCAACAGTTTTCAGCAAGTTCAAGGATGGAGGACAATTCTTTTTCAAAATGAGTCTCTCGGCCTAGCGCCGCGCACATTCGTCTTCGAAGGCTTCAGCAGTTTCAAGGACTCGTATATCTGAAGTCCTACGATTGGTGTTCCGACACGATTTTCGACAGTCCGGACGCAAGGGTCATGCTTACTCATTATTTTAGAGTCCATTGTGTTCTGGCACGATTAAAATTACCAGGATGTAACAGTCACGTCGACTCGCGGCGTCGAAGTCCCACGAACATCGTTGACCCGTCTTTGGGTTTATACTGGTCCTCCTCCTCCTCCTCTTGCTCTTGTTCCTCCTCCTCCTTCTCCTCCCCCTCCTCCTCCTTCTGGCCCTGGCGACCTCCAAGCGCGCAGGACGCTGAGACATGGCACTGCGGCTGACGCGGCAGCAGGCCGAACGACACGACAGATCGGGAGCGTCGCCGCAACGGCAGGGCGCACGAGCTCGCCAAGCTCTGGGCGGCCACGCACAGAGCAGACATCTGGCGTTCGCTTCCCCTCCCCCCGAGGACCCGTCTCCTCGGGTCGGGGCCCAGCGGCGGCACTGGATCTTCAGCTGCGCAGGAGCGCTCGTCGCCCGCAGCGTATCCCTGTCGCTCGAAGAACAAGAAGCGGCATGAGCATAATTTGTCGGAGGTCCGCGCGGATTTCTGAGATCGGCGCTGGGCCCCCGTGGCGGCGCGCTCTGGCGCCGTCCTGGCGGGCCCCGCGCGCCAGGGAGGGGGTCCAGCGCCGATCCAAGAAATCCGCGCGGACCTCCGACAAAGTATGTTTACGCAGTTCGTTGTGCATCTAGTCTCTCTCTCTCTCTCTTGTTCTCTCTCTCTCTCTCTTTCTCTCTCTCTCTCTCTCTCTCTTTCTCTCTGTGTTTTAGTACGTCGTGCACACGAAGGGCCGAGGAGGGCTCCATGGCCTGGTCGCCGCAGAGCCCGGCGGGAGCGCTTGTTGTGGGTTGCGCACAGACTCATGCGTTACACAAGCCGCGGCAACGGCAAGTTCTTGCCTTGATTTGCGATGTGTTGTGGAGCCGGCTGGAGGCTGAGTTGGCTTCAGACCCCCTGGCGCCATGAAAAAAGCACGACGGATGTGTTTTGCTATCTAGTGGCCTTCAGCTCATCCCGCCATCGTTCCTGGATTGTGGGAGGGAGGCCTTTGGAGTGTTTTTTGGTATCTCGTGTTGGGACTGTAACTCAATAAACGAATCGAAAATCAACTACTTTGTGTTCTCGGGCCCCTCCTGGGAAGCCTCGTCGAGACCTTTTGGGCCGTCTTGGCGGCCTCTTCGGCCATTTTCGGCCCATCTTGGGCGTCTTGGGCCCATCTTTCGGCGTCTCAGGGACCTCCTGGACCGTCTTGGGAGCCTCTTGAAGCCCTCTAGGCCCGTCTTGGGGCCGTCCTGGGCCCGGAAATACCGTGCAGCAAGACGCCTGGAACCCCGGGGGCACGCGCCAAGCCCCGTAAGACTTGGCAACTTGGGCTCCGGGCCCCTTCTGTCAGGAGTGAGGGCTGAGGCTCAGGGGACTGGGCAGAGGACCTGAGCGCACGCCCACTCCGTGCCCAGCGGCACGGTGGCGGATTTGAGGCATCTGGGGGCCCTAGCTGAGCCCTGGAACCATCGAACCAAGATTCATGATACAAAGTTGGTCTTGGAGAATGGGTCCACATTGAAAAATCGTGGTGTCAGGGATCTGGGGCGACCATCACTGGTTCCAGCAGTTCCTCCAGAGTGGGGAGGCATCGTTGTGCACGGGTTTCGTCCCCTGTCCCTTCCGTGCCGCCTTCTCCTGAGGGGCGTTGGATGCCGAGCTCTGTTCCTTTCTCCCCTCCTGACCGGTCTGACGGGTGCCCATCCAGAGCAGGCCCCCCAGCCTCCTTCAAGATATGTTCGTCCCTTTCGTTTCAGGGGCCAAGTTAGGGGGGGATAGGCTCAGTGTTCCTTTCTCCCCTCCTGACCGGTCTGACGGGTGCCCATCCAGAGCAGGCCCCCCAGCCTCCTTCGAGATATGTTCGTCCCTTTCGTTTCGGGGGCCAAGTTAGGGGGGGATAGGCTCCGGGGGGGACGCATCGACCCACGGTCGCCCATGGATCGCCGACAGGGGTCTTATAGCCCACCCCGCCCAGGGACGTCCGGTTTCGCTATCGGGGGCCTGTCGCCGATGTGTCGGAGCTCCTCCTCCTCCTCCTCCTCCTCCTCCTCTCCTCCTCCTCCTCCCCTCCTCCCTCCCTCCCCTCCTCCTCCTCCTCCCTCCTCCTCCTCCGCCTCCTCCGCCTCCTCCTCCTCCTCCTCCTCCTCCTCCTCCTCATCATCATCATCAGCATCATCATCATCATCAGCATCAGCAGCATCATCATCATCATTCCAGGTCGGTGTTCCCCCCCCCGAGCCAGTCCCCCTATCGTTCCCCCTCAAGCGGGTTCTTGTCTTGATTTGTGACGGGTTCGTCCTCTTTTGCTTGCCTGCGGTGGCTTTCATGATAGGCTGCCTGCCGCTTCTCCAGAACTCGGAGGACCCACTCACACATACTCGCGTCTGCGAGAGTGTGGTAATCTTGTATAGTCACCGTTGGGTCATCCCGCTTCCATGCCCGGGCCGTGGACCAGAGGCCTATTGGGATATGTTGGGAGGACCTCTTGGGGACCTCTGAGAAACGTGCCAGGGCCTCCTGCGGGGCGTCTTGGGGTCTTCTCGGGACCCCTTGCAGGCGTCCTGGGAGCTTGCGGGTGGTCTCGGAGGCCATCTTGGCGGCTTACCCTCTCCTCCGAGGTTGCAGCTTGTTGTCGACCCTAGTGGATATAGACAACTTTCCCGCGGCTGGCGTTTCATCCCGAGTCTTTTTGCTGAAGGTCCCAGGTCCGGCAAACGGCCCAAGAGGCTGACAATTACGTACCAGAAGTCGGCCGTCACGATTTTTGCATGTTTTAATTGCAACGCCCAGATCTGGGGGTAGGGCTACGGGACCATTTCGAGCTCACCCTCTGGGACCATTCTTGGGCTCCTGGGGGCGTCTTGTTGGCCTGTCGGTGGCCTCGGGGGGCAATCTTGGAGGGCAGGCACGAGCTCGTGAGCGCTTTGTTGTTTCCCCACATGCTTCGTGGGGTTCTGTTTTTTCCCCACATGCTTCGTGGGATTCTGGTTTTCTTCCCTGCCGCGCCGCACCCGCGTCTCCTCACACCTCCCCTCCTCTCTCTTTCTTTCTCCCCTCACTCACTCACTCACACACACACACACTTCACTCTTCCCCCCCTCGTCACAGCACTGCTCAGCTCAACTCACCTCAGCACAGCACAGCTCAGCTCAGCTCAGCACAGCACAGCTCGGCTCAGCTCAGCACAGCTCAGCACAGCCCAGCACGGCTCAGCTCAGCACAGCACAGCACAGTTCGCGGCACTTTCTCGACACCACAGGGGGTGCGCAGGGGTTGGTCTCTCAGCTCGGCCGCTATCCACGACACTGGCGCAAAGCCTAGCAGGCGTGGCACTCTCTCGACACCACAGGGGGTGCGCAGGGGGTGGTCTCTCAGCTCGGCCGCTATCCACGACACTGGCGCAAAGCCTAGCAGGCGTGGCACTTTCTCGACACCAAAGGGGGTGGGCAGGGGGTGGTCTCTCAGCTCGGCCGCTATCCACGACACTGGCGCAAAGCCTAGCAGGCGTGGCACTTTCTCGACACCACAGGGGGTGCGCAGGGGGTGGTCTCTCACCGCGGTCCCTATCCACGACACTGGCGCAAAGGCTAGCAGGCGTGGCACTTTCTCGACACCACAGGGGGTGCGCAGGGGGTGGTCTCTCAGCTCGGCCGCTATCCACGACACTGGCGCAAAGCCTAGCAGGCGTGGCACTTTCTCGACACCAAAGGGGGTGCGCAGGGGGTGGTCTCTCAGCTCGGCCGCTATCCACGACACTGGCGCAAAGCCTAGCAGGCGTGGCACTTTCTCGACACCACAGGGGGTGCGCAGGGGGTGGTCTCTCAGCTCGGCCGCTATCCACGACACTGGCGCAAAGCCTAGCAGGCGTGGCAC